ATATATAATACATGTATCTTGAAAAGTGTAAAGGTTAATAAAACCAAAAGTCATAGCATCCATCTCTTATGTGCTAAACTTTTGATATTGTGAATGGCTAAAATAGCGCAAAGTAACCTATGCTAAAATATACCAAAAATATATGGAAATATAAAAAAACAGGAGAACATCATGGTAAATGCTGATCAGCATCAGCTGAACAAATAACAACAGATGTGTCTGAAAAATGTTTTGGTGTGTGTTGACAAATTGCTATCATCACCCAAAAATCTAATTATTTTCAAACGGCAAGAGCCAAAGAAAACAGAGTCATAGTTTATGTTTTGTCTCCCTCTAGCGGTCACTGCCTGAACTCGCACACATCATTACTCGTGCTGACCGCTCGGGGGCGCYGATGAGTAAAACGGAAGCCAGCGAACAACAGAACACACATCAGGAAGCTGCTTCTCTTCCTGTCTGTGACAGCCGCCTCAAAGGGAGGAAAAAAAAGGGCCGAGTTTGGCTGCAACTCTTGTCTTTTTTTTTTCAAATTAGAACAGACACCTTTAAACCACCGCAGCCATGTCGAAGAACACCGTGTCCGCCCGCTTCAGGCGAGTGGACGTGGACGAGTACGACGAGAACAAATTTGTAGACGAAGACGACGGAGGAGAAAATCAGCTGGGTCCTGACGAGGCAGAGGTGGACTCCCTTATCAGACAATATCCTTTACATCGAGTTAACCCGACCCGCGAGCCGTCATTGTTTTCAGAATATATGCTAAAAGCTTTGTGTGTTTAGTGCCTCGACGTGCCGTATGTTTTAATCTGTTTTCCCTCTTTATCTCGGTGATGGGCGTTATGCTAGCAGGCCRTTCACTGTCTGTCCAGACTTGCCTGACAGTCACATACCAGGGATTGCTGCTCCAGGCTCAACAAGCAATTATGTTCGCCTCGTCCTGCAAAGCTTTACCAAACTATAGTTACAAGTAGTTCTGTTGATGCTGCACTCAGATTTAGAGAGACTAATTTACAGAGTTAGTGTTTCAGTTGCACTAAGGCTTTATAAGGCATGAAAGTGCTGCACTTCCTCAAAAACGAGTAAGTACATCCTCCCTGACGTCACAGTGTAGCTGAAATAACCTCAAACCAAACATGTCATCACGTTGAGCACTGCTGTGCACATGTTGCAAACTATGTTTATTTTAAAACGTGTTAACAAAAATAAAACTGGCCAGTCTCATGCAGTACTGTGAGATGTCTCTGTTTCTATAAAACAAGGCTGAGTTAGACATTTTTTGATGGTTGATGTTACACAGGACAGTCATAAGCAGTTATAGTTGTAAATCCAGTGACGGCTTTCTGAGAGATTTGTTAAAATGTCCCCGGTGTTTCATGGGATATTCTYCTAACAGACGCACATCGTCAGCCTTCTCCTTTCAGTTGCAAGTACAAAACCTTGTTGTGCAACAGCTCCATCTTGAAGCGATGTTGCTCATGTTTACGGTAATTATCATCAAGGCTGTTGTCATTTAAAGTGCAGCTTTGCTGAGCTGTGTGTGGATCCTTAACCCTCCCCCTGCACAGGAAACCTCATGGAGGCCTTACAAGCAGTCCTGAAGAATCCCCCGATCAACACAAAGAACCAGAACGTCAAAGTAGGTTGTTTTATTTTAATCTATAATAGGGCCTTTATCCTGAAAAAACAGTAGAAATGTTGATTTTTGTTCTCAAATTGATCTATTTGAGCTGCTGTTTCTAAAACAATACTTAAACTACAGTAAAATTTGATTGATTTAGACCAGCAACTATTTAAAGATTAGATTTAAATGAGTTTAAACAATGATTTGTATCCAAAAGCTTTGCTTTGTTGATGTCTTTGGTCCTGATTTTTCTTGTTTTCTGTAACTGCTTCCCCGGCCAGGATCGTGCCGAGGGTCTCGTGCTGAAAGTGCTCAGTGCCTTTAAGAGCAGCGACATTGAGAAAGGGGTGCAGTCGCTGGACAAGAACGGCGTGGACCTGCTGATGAAATATATCTACAAAGGCTTTGAGAGGCCGTCGGAGAACAGCAGCGCCGTCCTGCTGCAGTGGCACGAAAAGGTCAATGTTTCCACTGTGTGGACTTGATGTCCAGCACCAGCTCCCTGAACAGCGTTTTAATGAATATTAAAAGAAATTAACTAAGGGAGGTTGGATAAACTGGAGCAAAAAAATAAATCTGATGTTGTTTTATTTTTGCTGTGCTTTCAGGCTCTAGCTGCTGGAGGAGTGGGCAGCATCGTCAGGGTACTAACGGCGAGGAAAACAGTCTAAGATCAAAACATAGAACCACATCACATTACATCACCGGGGCGCTGCACTGTTCCTGTACCAGACGGCATTGAAACTGAAAGGAGGAGGGAAAAAAAGGCAGATTTTAACCCTCTGAGATGCTGAGTTGCTCCAGGCAAGCCTAACGGAGAATCTGGGTCATACTGGGTTAAAARCAGATTTTTCTTTCTTCTTGTTATTAAACAAAGTTTAAATCACAGCTCTAAGTTAATGTGTCCAACAGTGGTTTCTAATATATAGAAGACAAATCTTAGAAAAATGTTYAAAAAAAACCTACAGATTGGTATAAAAGTGTTGGATACCACTGCTGTAAACATTGCTTCAGATGATCCATTTGTGCTTAAATTTGCAAGTATTTCTTTTTGTACTGTTTGCTACTCCAAAAAACAAACAAACAAACAAACAAACAAAAAAAGCATTTGTTTTCTCTTTATTTGTTGGTTTCACCTTCAGAGACTTCCTGAATCAATAAAAGCAGTAAATCAGCTCAGACAGTGTCAGTCTGCTGAAAAAGGCAGATGGAAGATGGGTTTGCCCAGTGGGGTCAGCATTCACCCCGGTGGGGGACGGATGCGGGGTGGAGGAGGATTATTACCCACGATTCATCTCCGCCATCGCATTATTTTTTTTTTTAAATCCCACTTTGCTGCTGACATCTGCTACTGAACAGGGCTGCGTGTGGTTCTGTTGGTTTTTAAACGAGCAGCTTTCATGTTTGTACTCTCGGGAAAATAATCATCGAAATATGTGCTGATTTTTTTGTAAGTGTTCATTTGGAGAAAAAAAATAAATATTCCAGGGTTAAATGTTTCCTTTTGGTTTTTAGTAACATTTGCCTAAAGGCCGAATACCAACTCACTAAAATGAAATAATAATATTAAAAAAAAACACCAGGGTTTACTGATGCTTCTTGATGAGACATGATTTTGGTTTTTGCATGATTCAGTTTCAGATCTTTCTTTTGTACTTGTTTTGTCAGGAAAATAATACTTTGTTTTGACTTCTGGTTCATTTTTAAACCTTTCAGACTGTAAGAAGACATCTTTACCACAATAAACTAAACAAATTAACATTTTATATAATTGGGAGGAGTGAAAATATTAATTTTTTTCTGCTTCATTTGAAAGATTACATTTTTTTGCCAGATTATTATTATTTTATTTGAATTACGTAGTTTAAATTAGCTGAGCTTGTGTATTGGGCAGTGGATTTATTATCCGTACAAATGAACATTTGTTGGGACTGAAATGGTTGTAGTTTTGTTCCTCCTGGAGACATTTTCTGGTTCAGTCGTCTCATTTGAACACTGTCAACAGTGATGGAGGAAACAGACCAACAAACTATATATATATA